AATATTAAAAAAAAGAAAACATATATAGGTTTTTAACTAATCAAAATCAATTACTCAAAAATTAGCCAATCAGAATTAATTATATAAGCACCAAAAATTGGTGCCTATATGTATAGATTGGATGTCTCTTGCTGTTTCTCACTATATAATATGTTTTTCAAATATGATTATAAAGTTAGAGATTTTGATAAAAATTTGAATAATAAGTTGAAAGATGAGAGAGTAAGAAATAATACAAATTGTACAAGTACAATAGAAATAAAATCTTTAAGAGTTGAGTAAATAGAGTATGAATAAAGGAAAGAGAGCTAGAAGGAGAAAGCAAGATAAGAAAAGATTGTATATATTAAATAATTAGTTTTATAATATGGAAAATTAAGATAAATAGTCTCAATAATAGAGAAATTAATAACTTGGATTAAAAAGTTAAGGCTAGAGCATATATACCAGTGGAAAGATGAGTTAGGAAGATTATATTAGAAGCAATAATGAGATAGATAAAAACTAAATGATATATAGAGTTAATATAGAATTGTGTAAATAGTATATTTAGTAATATTTTGATTTTAAAAGATTTAAGATGATTAAGTTTGGGATAGTAAAGTTGTATTATCCTTTATAATAATTATTAAAGAATAGCCAAGTAGAATTCCAATCAATAAGGTTAGAGAAGTGTGACATTCTTGGGCGCGATATTGAGAAGACCATAGGGCTATGTTGTATGCATTACGTATATTTTTAATAAATTGTCAGGTAGAGCTATCAACAAAGTTGTTTTTTCATGATAAAGTAAAATAGGAGTTGTAGGATTAGTGTAGTTAAATAGTAACAGAGGAGAGCTTGAATGGTTATTGGCAAGTACATCTGCAAGATTATTTAAGGTATTGTCAGAGTGGGCCTGAACTTTGTAAAGAGAGAGTTGGATATTAAAAGCTTTTAGAATATTAAGAAGTGTATGCCAGATGGGCCAAGAGTTAAACTTGAAGTTTTTGGTAGAGTGGGGAGATAAGGTTAGGAGTTTGTTGTATTTGGATATGACTGATTGTGAGTCAGTGAAGATTTTTAGGCAAGAGTTCCGTGGAATAGTTGAGATAACAGATAGGATTGCTAATAGTTCAGTTTTGTACGAAGAAGGCCAGTTTGTAATTTGGGCAGAAAAGCTTTGTATAATTTGGTCATCATGAACTTGGACCCAACCAATACCCATGAAGCATTGGTCAGTACCAAGTTGTTAACAGAGCCATTTGTGTAGAAGGTAAATTGATGTTGGGAAAGATTGGCTAGTGCAACTTGAGTAAGCTGTGAAGAGGCGTTGTTGTTAATGAAAATAGTGGGTATAGATGAGTCAATAAGGTTAATTGATAGTGTAGGTGGTATTTCAGTAGCCTTTTTAATATTAGTGGACTGAATAAGATCAATATAGTTAGCATTGAGATTAAGTTGTTTGTTAGCTTTCTTTCTTCCCAAGAATTGAGTAGAGAGAATAGCAGATACTTCAAGTGTACAATTGCTAGAGATTTGGTTAGAGTTAAAGCTACAGCCCTGGCAAGGTGTAAAAGTAATAGGAGATAATGGGTAGGAGTTAAGAGTAGAGGTGTCAATGTTGTGTTGCTAGTGAGTATTTTAAAAATTTAATTAAATAAATAAATAATTATAAGTAATAATTTATTTGATATACAAAAAAAAAATAATAATAAAATAGTGTAGATAAATATATACTTTTATTAGGTAGTATTACTACTTTCTTTATTATATTTTATAATTAAAAAGTCTTATTAGTAATTTATTTATAAACATATATTTAAATATTTTTATTTATAAATTCAATACCTTCACTTATAGAAAATATATAGAGCTCTTTATATTTGATTTTGTAAATACTTTTATCATCACAAAGATCTAGGCTTACTTTGAGTATATTATCTATCTTACTAGATTGTTTGCTTGTAAAATCAAAATCTTCTTTAAATCCAAGCTTTTGGTAGCAAAATTAACTTTAACTATTATTGGCATACTATTTTGATTTTGTTTGCTAAAAACTGAATACATTTAATATAGTTGTTTATATTGAATAATCTTGTCAAGTATAATGAGTATATTAAGTTGTTGGTAATAAATTCTAAAAAATAAATTAAATAAAATAAAATTAATTAATAAATTAATATTATAAAAAAATTAAAAAGAAATAAATTACAGAATTCAAGACTTAAGGTTTGTAGCAAAAAAAAAAAGTAAAGATAATTAATTAGTTAATTAATTAGAAATAAACAAATAATCAAATAATTAATTAATTAATTAAAAATAAATATATAAATAATAATTAATTAATTAGAAATAAATTAAACAGAACTCAAGACTTAGTATTGTATAAAAAAAAATATAGAAATAGAATTAATTAATTAATTAATTAATTAGAAATAAATTAACTAAAACTCAAGCCTCAAGTATTATATAAAAAAAAAATAGAAATAGAATTAAATAAATAAATAAAAAATTAATTAGAAATAAATTAATAAAAAAATAAATTAAACAGAACTCAAAGCTCAGGTATTGTAAGAAAAAAAAAATTATAAATAAATAATTAATTAAAAAAAATAAATAGAAATATAATAAAAAAAAGGACCAAATTTCAAATTTTATTATAATTTAAATAAATAAATAAAAAATTAATTAAAAATAAATTAATAAAAAAATAATTTAAACAGAACTCAAGACTTGAGTATTGTAATAAAAAAAAAATTTAAATAAATAATTAATTTAAAAAAATAAATAGAAATATAATAAAAAAAAAGGACCAAATTTCAAATTTCATTATAATTTACAAACCTTGAGTCTCACAATCTCTAATAATTAAATAATATAAATAATTAATTACTTATTTTAAAACATATTGCTTAATAAATTTATCTAAAAGATTATAAAAGAAAGCGAATACTATTTATATAACTTTCAAGTTCTAATTAAGCTTTAAACTTAAAAGTTATATAAATTGTTTTATTATAATAATAATTATAATAAGGGAATTGCTATTTTCACACCTATTTTTGCTAATTCCACCTCCCAGAAATTAAAAAGTGCTTCAAAATGGATATTTTAATCAAGTAAATCTTTTTTTAATCTTAATAAAAGTTGTTCATTAGGCCTTTCTGGTTTTAATAGTAGTAAAATAATTATATTCAGACTAGTAGTTCCTAAGATGTATATATCTGAAGTTAATTAAATTTTATTTTCTTTTAAAAAAATTTATTGGTCTAATTTTAATGATTTTACTACTATTAGAACCAGAAAGACCTGATGAACAACTTTTATTAAGATCAAAAAGAGTGTTTTCTTAATAATAATATCTTTTCTTAAGTATTTTTTAAAATTTAAAGAGTAGTATTAGCAAAAATAGAGAGTGGAAATAGCTATTCCCTTATTATAATATTAAATTATTAAGCTATCTAACAAACTTACAAAATTAACAATATAAACAAAGTTAAATTATTATGATAGCTAAATTATCTAAATATCTAAATATATGAAATAATACATATAAATTAACAATAATTATAATTAAGCTAAATTATTATAATAAACAATATCAAATATATAAAATAACATTATTTATATAAAATAAAGATAAATAAATAAGTATTAAAAAAAAACTCAAAAAAAAAATATAACTAAAAAATAATAATAAAAATATATATATATTTTTTTTTAATGTTAAAGGTGAGACCATGCTTTTATCTTTATTAAACTTAATAAAAACTTTTTACATAATTAGAAAAGGTTTTATAATTTAAGCTTATTGCTAAGAATAAGAACTCAGACATATAACTAAGTACACCTAGAAACTTATC